TTTTAAAACAAGGTATTCTTTAGGGATGTTACATTACATTTTTTACTTGTTCTGCTGGTAGAAATGTCAAAAAATTTTTAAAAGGCTGTTTCAGTGTTTTGATTAAATTATTATATCCTAATTTTTTTTTAATTAAATCTTTATTGTTCAGATTATTACATTTGTTCCTCTTTTTTCCCGCCATAACTCCCCTCAATTCCCGCCCCACCCTCCGCCCTCACTCCCCACCCACTGTCCTCATCCATAGGTGCACGATTTTTGTCCAGTCTCTTCCCGCATCTCCCACACCCCTTTCCCCCCCAAGAATAGTCAGTCCATTCCCTTTCTATGTCCCTGATTCTATTATAATCACCAGTTCATTCTGTTCATCGGATTATTTATTCACTTGGTTCTTAGATTCACTTGTTGATAGATGCATATTTGTTGTTCATAATTTGTATCTTTACCTTTTTCTTCCTCTTCCTCTTCTTAAAGGATACCTTTCAGCATTTCATATAATACTGGTTTGGTGGTGATGAACTCCTTTAGCTTTTCCTTATCTGTGAAGCTCTTTATCTGACCTTCAATTCTGAATGATAGCTTTGCTGGATAAAGTAATCTTGGTTGTAGGTTCTTGGTATTCATCACTTTGAATATTTCTTGCCATTCCCTTCTGGCCTGCAAAGCTTCTGTTGAGAAATCAGCTGACAGTCGTATGGGTATTCCCTTGTAGGTAACTGAGTTTCTTTCTCTTGCTGTTTTTAAGATTCTCTCTTTATCTTTTGCTCTTGGCATTTTAATTATGATGTGTCTTTGTGTGGTCCTCTTTGGATTCCTTTTGTTTGGGGTTCTCCGCGCTTCTTGGACCGGTAAGTACATTTCTTTCACCAGGTGGGGGAAGTTTTCTGTCATTATTTCTTCAAATAGGTTTTCAATATCTTGCCCTCTCTCATCTTCTGGCACCCCTATAATTCGGATGTTGGTACGCTTGAAGCTGTCCCAGAGGCTCCTTACACTATCCTCGCATTTTTGGATTCTTTTTTCATTTTGCTTTTCCGGTTGGGTGTTTTTTGCTTCCTCGCATTTCAAATCATTGACTTGATTCTTGCGCTCCTCTGTTCTGCTGTCAGGAGTCTGTATAATATTCGTTATTTCAGTCCGTGTATGCTTAATTTCTAGTTGGTTCCCCAATATAACATCGAGGGTCTTATTAGTTTTCTTGTAGATCTCATTAAGTTTATCGGCGGCTTCTAAACAGTTCTTGAGAGACCTTAAAAGTGTGGTTCTGAACTCTATATCTTCCATTGACAATTTTGTCCTGTTTCTTTGTCTCCGCATTTTGTTATGCTTCCTTGGTGCACCCCCTAGTGGTCTTTGTGCGCAGTCTTATAGTTAAACCTTGATTGTTGTAGCTAATACCAGGGAGGCTTTGACCTCCAGGCCAAGTGGCTATGAGAATCAGCTGTGTCAGCAGTGAGAGAACTTCTGTCCTCTAGGGAGGTGCTAATCTAGCCTTTGCCTGAGGCTATCCGGCAAATGCCTCTGTGCAGGGCTTGGGCGGGGTGGGTCGCACAGGATCAACAGGGTGGGCCGGAGAGAGCAGTTATGGCAGCTCTCAGTCCTGTCCCCAGGGGCTCTGCCTCTCTGAGTCCCAGCACCCGCTGCAAAGCTCGGAGAGAAAGCTGCACTCGCTCTGACCGAAGCCAGACAGTCCCGCTTCTCCCGTTTGAGTCTGGGTCCCTAAAGACTCGCCTGTATCTGGAGCTCAGAGTCTGCGACTCCCTCCCGATTGAAAACGCCAACCGCGCCCTCCGCCGCCAGCCCACTCTGCCCACTCCGCACCTCAGAATTTGACTTCAGCACTGCGCCTCCTCTGAGTGTCCGTATGCGTTTCTCTTTCCTCCTAGTTGTAGGACTTCCACTCAGCCAGCGTTCCTGTGGTTCTGGGTGATGTCCGTTCTGTCTTTTAGTTTCACTTTTTAAGTAGTTGTTCAAGGCAGCAAACTCCAGCGTTAACCTATGCTGCCATCTTGGTTCTCCCTATTATATCCTAATTTTAGACAAATGTGTAAATCATAGGACAAATGAAGATTTATTAAATAATTCAAATGGTAATGGTAGTTTTTCCTGCCTTGGTTGGAAAATTAAGTAATTTTATAGAAAACCAATGTAGAGCTTGAATGTATTTGTTTAATCTCCTTATTTTATAGGGAAGGTTACTGAGGCTCAAGATCATGTAGTTTGGAAATTAAGCCTTATTTTAGGTCTGAACTCTCAGACCAGTAAACTCTACGAAATGCTAGTTTATGACTTCTGGTTACATTAATGATGGTATGACCCCTGATTTACATTATTTACAAATTGTCCTAAAATTTCCCATATGATATTAACCAGTGCCACACCAATAAAATTAATTAAAAAGATAAAATTTTCCCTTGCCATTAGAACACATAATCAGGAATTATTATGTCTTATTCATTATAGCATTTCTCCAGAATTGACACCTTGTCTTTTTCATACTTAATACCCAATCATTATTTTGCTGTCCTGTTATCATTGTTCTCCTATGCTATTATTCTATAAAAGATAATTTTGAAATAAGATAGTTTATTAATGGAATGTTAAATACCTTTGATAGCAAATAGGTTTCATTTTGTGTTCTATTTTTGATGAATTGGCAATTGCTAGGTGGAGAAGTATTTTTATATCTTCTGGGTTTGCTTAGCAGTGTCTGCCACTGGCATAGGATTGGAGAAACCAACTGTTTCTTCCTTGATATGTGTGATCTTAGGAAAGAGAAAGAACTATAGACTAGAGCAGGGGTGGGCAAACTTTTTGACTCGAGGACCACAATGGGTTCTTAAACTGGACCGGAGGGCCAGAACAAAAGCATGGATGGAGTGTTTGTGTGTGAACTAATATAAATTCAAAGTAAACATCATTACATAAAAGGGTACGGTCTTTTTTTTAGTTTTATTCATTTCAAACGGGCCGGATCTGGCCTGCAGGCCATAGTTTGCCCACGGCTGGACTAGAGTGATTAGAAAAGGCCCAGGAAGAAATAAGGCTCAAAGTATGGGATAGAATTCAGTATTTATAGGCAGAATGAGGTAGAATGTTACCAAGGCTGGGTGTTTCCTTAAAAAGTATAGGCATTCAGAAAGGTTAATTAGGTTAATGTAACCTAATATCATTACTTTTACATTATAATGTTGATAGGTTATCCTATCTAATAAAAGAGAAACATGGTAATTAGCGTACGACCGCTACCCTTCCCATTGGCTAATCAGGGCAATATGCAATTTAACTGCCAGCCAAGATGGCGGCCAGCAGCCAGGCAGCTGGAAGCGAACATGAGGCTTGCTTGCTTCAGTGACAGAGGACTCCAACGTTCCCTGCCTGCCGCTGCTGGCCTCTGAGCTGCAACTCTAAGCAACTATGTTACAAATATAGAAGCTAAACAAAACCCTAGAAACCTGCTTTAGTCGCTGGGCTTCAGCCAGCAGGATCACAACATTGTTTCAAATACAGAAGGTAAACAAAAGCCAGAAACCTGCTTTCAGCAGCGGAGGCCTAAGAGCTGGAGCCTCAGAGCTAAAGCTGGCCCAGAATAAAAAAAAAGGAGCAGTTGGGAGCTTCAGTCACCCGCCAGCCTAAAAACAGCCCTCAGCCCCTCATCCAGGCTGGCCAGGCACCCCAGTGGGCACCCCCACCCTGAAGGGTGTGTGACCACCCCAGTGGGGACCCCCAGCCTGATCCAGGACACCCTTCAGGGCAAACCAGCCAGCCCCACCCATGCACCAGGCCTCTATCCTATATAGTAAAAAGGTAATATGCCTCCCAGCACCGGGATCAGCGGAGCCGCAAGGCCTCCCAGCACCGGGATCAGCAGAGCCGAGAGGCCTCCCGGCACCGGGATCACTGTGACAGGGGGCAGTGCCCAAACCCCCTGATCGCCCTGTGGCTCTGTATGTGACAGGGGGTGGGGCCACAACCTCCCTATCTGCCCTGCTCTGTTCGTGACAGGGGAAAGCATCCCAACCCCCTGATCAGCCCTGCTCTGTGCCTGATAGGGGGGAGCTCCCCAAACCCCTGATCGCCCTGCGGCTCTGTGTGTGACAGGGTGCGGTGCCCCAACGCCCTGATCAGCCCTGCTCTGTGTGTGACGGGGTAGAGCCATAACCTCCCCATTGGCCCTGCCCTGAGTGTGACAGTGGCAGGGCCCCAACCCCCTGATCGGCCCTGCTCTGTGGGTGATAGAGGGTGGCGCCCCAACCCCCTGATCCGCCCTGCTCTGTGCGTGACAGGGGGGAGCTCCCCAACCTCCTGATGGGCCATGCTCTTTGCGTGACAGGGTACAGAGCCCCAACCCCCCTGATGGGCCCTGTTCTGTGCGTGACAGGGGGTGGCGCTGCAACCTCCCCATCGACCCTGCCTTGAGTGTGACGGGACAGTGCCCCAGCCCCCCAATCGGCCCTGCTCTAAGCCCGACCAGGGGCTGCACCTAGGGATTGGGCCTGCCCTCTGCCACCGGGGAGCATGCCTAAGCCAGCAGATCATTATCTCGTTATCTCCTGAGGGGTCCCAGACTTCGAGAGGGCACAGGCAGGGCTGAGGGACTCCCCCTCCCCACCGAGTGCACAAATTTTTGTGCACCGGGCCTCTAGTATTAAGTATAATCAAAGGAAGGAAAACAATTATTGCGAACTTTGATACCTGCCCCTGTGCTTTTTACAGGGGCCCTGGAGACTTTCTGTTCTAGTTTCCTTTCCTGAGTTATTAAGGGTTGTTAAGTCTTCCCCAATTTTTGCCTGTGTCAGCTCTCTCCAATTTTATATCTGCCTTACATATGTAAAAGTTGTGATAAACTCATTACAATTTTATTTCATTATTATGTTACAGGAATTCATTGGAGAAGGAAGTCTCAATTGTTGTTTAATCATATTATTAAAATTGTATTTTAAAATATTTGGTTATAAAATAAATGACTCCAAATAACATAATAATTTTTTATCTTCCAGGAATCTCCTTCTGGTCGAAGGAAAGCTCTTGCTACTAGCAGCATCAACATGAAACAGTATGCAAGCCCTATGCCAACTCAGACTGATGTCAAGTTAAAATTCAAGCCATTATCTAAAAAAGTTGTATCTGCCACTCTCCAGTTTTCATTATCTTGCATTTTCCTCCGGGAAGGAAAAGCCACGTAAGTTTATTTTGTCCAAAAATCTGCTTCAGAGTGTGTTTTAAAACACTGTAGGTTTATAGCTTTGGACTCAGTATATTGGCAACAGTTGAGAACATCCTACCACATACCAATCATTCTTGCCATTCTTTGTTTCAGAGGCTGAATTAAATGAACTCCTTGTTATTTATAGCCTCTCATGACTCTAGAGAATGAACAATAATATAAAAATGATTACAGAAAGTTTCACATTTTATATTATAATTGTATATCATAGTATATCATACATTTTTTTTTTTATATTTTGGTGTCTTCGGTATAAGTGGTTGTACTCTGAAATACAGACAATTCAATTTGTGGAGCTGTTTGGTTCAGCTGAGATATGAGAGGAACCCAGAATGAAAAGTTTAGGATAAGAGTAATGAAAGAATTAAAGGAACCTTTGCCAGTTCATGTTTTTTTGGCTCAGCCTTCCAAAAACTGTATAGCAAGGTGTACAGGTAGACACACTTTGTTATAATCACTATCCTTTTCAAAATTCACCTTCTAAAGCTCTGACTAGGCATTGCACGAAGATAATTTCTATACCCAGTTCTAGTCTCCTAAAAGACTTACCAGGTTAAAAAAAAAAAAAAAAAAAGTAACATTCACTCTAGTTAAGTCATGGGGTAAGTGTATGTTTGGGGTATAGTGAAACCGTTAGTACCTATTTGGAGTGAAGATGGAAATGTAAATTTTACACCTTGACTTAAAAGGTGAGGGGGAAAAGGCACGTATAAACATTACAATCCAATCTGAATCACACTTCTGAATGTGTTTGACCTAGTGAAATGTGGTTACTATAATTGGTCATGTCTACTTAACTGATTAGACTGAATACTGTGGGTCAGAATGAGATGTTTGGCACTCATCTACAGGGCACAAGTGACTTGGTAGATAACATAAGCCTCTTCTCTGGAAAGTTTGCTTCTAAGTGAGTGTTGTAGAGAGTGCAGAATGGAAGCATTGGTCTTTCATATCAGGACCTTAAATTGTAGACTTAAATATTGAGAAATTAAAAATAAAGACCTTACCCTGAAATCCAGGCCAAAAAGAAAGGTAAGGAAATAGAGAAAGAAGAGAGAAAACAAAATCAGAGAAGATCCTTTGAAGGTGGACTCCTTTCCAGTGGGCCGAGCAGTAAGTGAGTCAGTACCATTCACAGAAATATAGGTGAGAGGAAATTCAGTCAAACCAAGTATCTCAGTTTGAGTGAAGCATTCTCTCAAACACCCTAAATTCCCTCTTTCCTCCTTACCTTTCCCAAAGAAAAATGTTCAGGGTTAAAATATGAGGAAATTAAATAGGTAAAATTAAGCAAATTAGCATTTTAAGAATAATATATCTTGAAATTATCCCTGTTGATAGGTGAGCAACTTGTAAGGCATTCATATAATGTAACATAACTTTTTGTGTTCATGCAGACTTTGTGTTACTAACTTATTTTAAAATGGGGAAATTATCTTAATTCTAAGCTTATATGAGATAAAATGCAAAGAATTTCAAACAACCAGTTTAGTCTGCAAAGTTATTATATTTAGAAAAGTGAATATTTACAAAAGAGATTTTAGTGTGTGTGTTTTTTTATTGTATTGTGCTAAAAACATGAGAAACTTTTAATTTGGCTTTCTGAGTTTTGAGGAAGTATACCTGATTAAAATTTAGTTTGTATATGACATGTTAGGAATATGTTTCATTCACTGTAGTTTGTTTGAAATTTAAGATTAAAATGATAGATCAGGAAAACTTAAATTTTTTATGTTTACAGTATTTAATTTTTCTTTTCTATTCTAATGTAAATTTCATAAATTTATATTTTACATACTTCAATATAAAAACATTTATCAACTATATGGTCCAACTTATAATCAATCCAGGTCATTTTCTATCTTGTAATTCTTTTTTTTAAAAAATATATTTTATTGATTTTTTACAGAGAGGAAGGGAGAGGGATAGAGAGTTAGAAACATCAATAAGAGAGAAACATCAGTCAGCTGCCTCCTGCGCACCCCCCACTGAGGATGTGCCCGCAACCAAGGCACATGCCCTTGACCTGAATCAAACCTGGGACCCCTCAGTCCACAGGCCGACGCTCCATCCACTGAGCCAAACGGGTCAGGGCTCTACCTTGTAATTCTTAAAAAGACTAGACTTTGTCTTAAGGTGCTTTTTGTATTACATTAATTCTTTAACTTTTGAACAACTATAGCCTCTTTCAGAAAAATGCACCTTTAAACAAGATTTAAATATAATTTACAGGACTTTATTCTACTTCTTTTTCTTCTAGTTCACAAAACCAAAAGGGTTCATGGACTTCAGATTAAGAATTTCTATTTTAATTCCTTATGAAAATTTAAATATTTTAAAGTCTAGATCTCATCTGATTTGCCAATTATCTCCTTGTTTTATGAAACAAGTTTTTGTTTGCAGACTTCATGGTTAGGAAACCCTACTTTAATCCCATAGAGAAAATTTTAGTCTTCCATATGTCTGCAGCACAGAATTAATGTAACTCCTAACCAGTTAGTTTTTAATCCTGTTTGCTTTTTACTAATTAAACATGTTTAAAAATTAATAAATGAGTGTTTAGAGTTTTCAATAGTATTATATAGCTTTAAGAAGAATTATTAATGTACAAAAAAGGAGTATATTAATATTTTCTTAAGCATCAGTTCTTTTTCAAGTAATGTCATTTAATGAACTATGTATTATATTATAAATCATTGATGTAGGGATGAAGACATGCAAAGTTTGGCTAGTTTGATGAGTATGAAGCAGGCTGATATTGGGAATTTAGATGACTTTGAAGAAGATAATGAAGAAGATGATGAGAACCGAGTGGACCAAGAGGAAAAGGCAGCAAAAATTACAGGTTGGTTTTATTAAGCTGTAAGTTTATCTTTTTTTTTTTTTTGTAAAGTTGAAAGCTTATTCTTATTTCCCAGGAAACACAGTTTCACTAACAAGGCATTTCTTCTTCCTTAAGCCTTTATAATCTAACTAGAGGCCCGATGCATTAAATTGGTGCAAGAGTAGGCCTTCCTTCACCTGGCTGCTGGCACAGGCTTCCCTCCGGCACCCGTGATCCAGGCTTCCCTTGCAAAGGGAGACCCTGCCCACCTGCTGCAGCCCACCGATCGGTGCCCTGGGCCTCCCTCTTTGGGGCGATCGTGGAGCCCCCTCATTGATTGCCCCGCTAGTTGGTGGCCTGGGCCTCCCTCTGCAGGGTGATCATGGTGCGATGGCCAGGCCCCTGACCAATCACATTACACCCGCCTTGGCTGGCCTGGCACCAGTGGGTGTCATAGCGTGGTCATCTGGATGGTCATCTGGAAGGTTGTTCCGCTGTTCAGCCATTCGGTCAATTTGCATATTACGCTTTTATTATATAGGATATTCCATTTTGCTCTCTGAAAACTTTGCATGTTGCTGGTAATAACAAATTTCAGCAATTTAAGATCATGTCCAAGTTTAGTTAAGAATACATAGAATTGCCGTAACTGGTTTGGCTCAGTAGATAGAGCGTCGCCTGTGGACTGAAAGGTCCAGGTTCGATTCCGGTCAAGGGCATGTATCTTGGTTGTGGGCACATCCCCAGTAGGGGGTGTGCAGGAGGCAGCTGATTGATGTTTCTCTCTCATCGATGTTTCTAACTCTCTTTCCCTCTCCCTTCCTCTCTGTAAAAAATCAATAAAATACTAAAAAAAAAAAAAAAAAGAATACATAGAACTTTACTAGAACTACTAATTATAATATAAAGTAGCCTGAATATATTCATACTTATTTTGTCAATGTACGAATGAATCCTTTATAACAGTGGTTCTCTCAACCTTCTGGCCCTTTAAATACAGTTCCTCATGTTGTGACCCAACCATAAAATTATTTTCATTGCTGCTTCATAACTGTAATGTTGCTACTATTATGAATCGTAATGTAAATATCTGATATGCAGGATGGTCTTAGGCGACCCCTGTGAAAGGGTCGTTCAACCGCCAAAGGCGTCGTGACCCACAGATTGAGAACCGCTGCTTTATAAAGAAAGAAATGAGAATTTGCATTAGCTAACTTCTAGTGCATGGATGTTTTATCTTATATCTAGAAGCTTCCATGCAATTATTCATTATAGTTGGTTTGATCAAACTACTAAAATGTTAAGTGATTAGAACCTCTTTGTATTAATTGGTCAATAAGTACTTATTGGCAATCTGGCTATCACACTTAAGGATTTGATATGCCTTTATTATTGGAGTGAAAATAAAGCACTAAATATATATACATCAGGCAAAATTTCAAGACAAGAATGATTAAATAAGGCATACTGATCAATTACAACACCTCCTCTAGCCCCTTCTGGCTATTATTTTTATTTCAATAACATTTTGGGATTTCCCCCTCCCCACCCCCAGTAATTAATGCTGACATTTGCATTATGCTTAAATGATGTCAGCACCAATTATATAATTATTTTTAAAATGCCATGTCTTTCCTGTCTTTGAGATCTCTGTTTTATTTGGCTAGCTGGAGTACTCCAAGTTGGTGTTCTTCTGCTACCACCAAAGGTGACCTTCTGCCTGTCCTTCAAATTTTAATTCTGTTGCCACATAGTCTGAGAAGCCTTTCATGCTAACTCCCCACTTAAGCTTGACCACTCCATCCTTTATGCTAATACTATACCATTTACAAATGCAGGCATTTTTTTTACAGCAAGAGTTTTTATAATTCCAGTGGGATATAATTTAATCTTTTAATTGGAGGATACAGTTTGTTCTTTGTTAATGGCTTTTAGTTAAAACTAAATATCAGTTAGACATTAGTACCATAAGTAGGAATAAAATACCCACACATTTACATAGCTGTTTTGAGCTATATTGTATTGTTTTAATCATAATAATAGGAAAAATTAGTGATAACAGTATGTCACAAGTTCTGAGCTGGTTGAAAGGAAAAGAAAGGACATTATTTTTTAGGAAAATACAGATTTAATGAAGGCATTCAATAATAATTAGATTTTATAGTTCATTGTCTTAGTTCTTTTGGCCTCCTGTAACAAAATACAATAGATTGGATAGCCTATAAACAGCAGAAATGTATTTCTCACAATTCTGGTGGCTGGAAGTCTGAAGGGTGCTCACATGTTCTTATGAGATCCCTCTTTTGGGTCACAGACTCCTTATTGTATTCCTCATATTGTGGAAATGGGCAGGGTTGTTCTTTTGGGCCTTTTCTATAAGAGCATTAATCTCATTCATAAGGGCTCCATTGTCATGACCTAATCACACCATCCAAAGGCCCCATCTCCTAATACTATCACATTGGGAATTAGGATTTCAACATATGAATTTTGGGAGACACAGACATTCATACCATAGCAACCATTATTTCTTAAACGTACATATATATACCTTATTTTTTTAAATATATTTTATTGATTTTTTACAGAGAGGAAGGGAGAGGGATAGAGAGTTAGAAACATCTATGAGAGAGAAACATCGATCAGCTGCCTCCTGCACACTCCCTACTGGGGATGTGCCCGCAACCAAGGCACATGCCCCTGACCGGAATTGAACCTGGGACCCTTGAGTCCGCAGGCTGACGCTCTATCCACTGAGCCAAACCGGTTAGGGCATACCTTATTTTTTAAAATTTCTTTTCTTCATTGATTAAGGTATTACATATTTGTCCTTATCCCCCCAGTGCCCCACCCCCACCCCACCCCCCACATGTGCCCTCAACCCCCTAGTGCAGTGATGGCGAACCTTTTGAGCTCGGCGTGTCAGCATTTTGAAAAACCCTAACTTAACTCTGGTGCCGTGTCACATATAGAAAAATTTTTTGATATTTGCAACCATAGTAAAACAAAGACTTATATTTTTGATATTTATTTTATATATTTAAATGCCATTTAACAAAGAAAAATCAACCAAAAAAATGAGTTCGCATGTCACCTCTGACATGCGTGTCATAGGTTCGCCACCACTGCCCTAGTGTCTGTGTCCATTGGTTAGGCTTATATGCATGCATACAAGTCCTTTGGTTAATCTCTCCCCTTTCCCCCCACCTTCCCCTGCCTTCCCTCTGAGGTTTGACGGTCTGATTGATGCTTCTCTGTCTCTGGATCTGTTTTTGTTCATCAGTTTATGTTGTTCATTATATTCCACAAATGAGTGAGATCATGTGATATTTATCTTTCTCCAACTGACTTATTTCACTTAGCATAATGCTCTCCAGTTCCATTCATGCTGTTGCAAATGGTAGGAGTTCCTTCCTTTTACAGAAGCGTAGTATTCCATTGTGTAGAGTTACCACAGTTTTTTAATCCACTCATCTGCTAATGGGCACTTAGGCTGTTTCCAAATCTTAGCTATTGTAAATTGTGCTGCTATGAACATAGGTGTGCATCAATCCTTTCTAATTGGTGGTTCTAGTTTTGGGAAACCATAAAAATCTTAGAGGAATCCGTAGGCAGCAAAATCTCAAACATATGCCGTAGCAATATCTTCACTGATACAGCTCCTAGGGCAATGGAAACTAGGGACTAGTTTTATTTTTATTTCAAAATAAAAAGCTTCTGCACAGTAGAAGAAACCATCAACAAAACAACAAGAAAGCCCACTTCATGGGAGAACGTATTTGCCAATGTTATCTCTGATAAGGGTTTAATCTCCAACATTTACAGGGAACTCATACAACTTAACAAAAGGAAGAAGATAAACAATCCAATCAAAAAATGGCAATGCCCCTAAATATACCTTATTTTTTAAAATTTCTGCCAAAGGAGTAACTTCTTTTTAGATAGTCTAAAATTCTTCAGTCCTAATTGAAAAAATTGGTTTAATGTAACTTGTGATGATTCAATATTTCTTTGGAATGTTACCATTATTTACACAGTATATTTCTTTTCCGTATTTTATGAAATACTATGTTCTAATCCTTTTTTCATCTCTAGCTTCTAGCACATTCATTGTCTAGAACATATTGAGAATTTAATATATGTTAACTGAAAGGTCATAAGTAAATGAATTGGGGCTTCCCTCCTATTGTAGCCCATATTGATAACTCTGGCTTATTATCTTACTGAATTCATTTTTACCTTTAATCATGTACTACCTTATACAGGGTAGTGTGGTCCCATTTTATGGAAGGAATGGGATCAGGAGGAGACACATAATTCAAACCTTAAATAATTCAAGACTAGTTTTCCAAAGTAATGAATGTAAAATGTGTGTTGAAGGAGCAAAGATAGATGGGGATCATGGGTGATTAGATGCACATTCTAAGTAAATCCATAATTATTGTAATAAATTTTTGCTTTGATGTTGCATTTTTTCCATCTGTATTTTCTATTATATTTTCAGAGCACAGTCACTTAATAGCACAGCATTTCATGGCAGTTGTTTGGTGTCCTAAGTTGCATTTTTTTAGCACATGCAAATTCCATTTCAAAGTTATTAACTTTCAAGAATTATTTTGTTAAGCATCAGCACTACTACTATAAAAATGTTTGAGTAAATTAGTTTTAACATAATAAATATATTACAAAATTAACAGCAGTACTGTTAAAATAATAGCTGAAGTAAACAAAACAAATGTTTTGTAAACATGGTACAAATAAAGTATGGGTATTTTTATTTACCAGCTAAAGTGGCAATAACTTAAAGCACAGCTTACAGTCACTCATCCTTTCTCCTCTGAAATTGTTGACACAGTTTTTTAAAAGGAAGGAATGATTACTTTAGATTCTTCCTATATTATATCTTTATATTGCAATGTAAATACATAAAAAATGCAATCACATTATATCAATAAAATTATATAGGTATATTATTACCCAACTAAGTTGCAACCTTCTTGAAGAAACAGATTGTTACAATT